AATAGCCCGAGTTTTGAAACTGACAAAACTAAAGGCCGCCAATCGGAGATAAAATTTAACAATGTTGCTTTGAGACTACAATCAGTCATAAGTAGGCAGATCATTGTGGAAAATATGAACAAACCTACATGAATATTCACTATACCTAGAAAATTTCTTGATAATTGAATTTCGGTTAGAAAAGCATGAATATGGTCCACGTATTGCACACGTATTCCTTTTTTAAAGGACAGCGAAACTAGCTTACAAGTGTCTATTATGCATGAACATCAATTTATAAAACTTGAAATTTACAGGTCAGGTGGGTGCAATAAATAGTTTTCAGCTCATTGTATTAATACAATGAACTAAAAACCATTCATATATATATACACCTTGCGCGTTAGTGGCGGGTAAGAATTTCGGACAATGTTAGTTTTGATTAAATAGATTATCATTTCATGGAAAAAATATCTTGAATTCAAAACTTGGACATTCGACATGCATGAATGTATATTTAGTTCAACGATACGGCCAAGGGGATAATTTCATGTTTCTTTTCAAAGATTATTTCTAAAATTTTAAGAATTCATTTTATTTTATTTTTATTTCTAAAAATCAGCATACACTGACAGTTAAGCGGAGCCTTTCAAAGAACATTGCAGCACAGTCACCTGTGGGGGCATAAGAAGAAATTGAAACAGCGGAGGTAATCCCGGTAGGGACGTAGTGATTAAATAATTCCGCAGGGCATCTATGTATAAATAGATTGTAACAAGACTTGCCACAAAATGTAATCATGATTTTACTTATAAATGTCTTTTGATTAAATATCTGTTTCTAAAATTTTTTTTATCTAATTTCTGATTATATTTATAATAATTTTTGATATGACCCTTATCGTACACTAGCATGTAATGCCCACAAGTATCATATAATTATGCAATACTTGTTTCTTATATCTGAATTTTGTTTCAAGTTTGGAAATAGAAAAAAGTCAAAAGGTCACAAGATCTGTGAAGCTGATGATAATGTGAATTTCTATTAATATCTTTCTTTTTTAGGCAGTGTCTTTCAACAAAATATCCGAATTTCTTTTTGGTATACCAATGGCGTCCCGGCTGTCATGAAGAAATTTAATTTTTGGATTAAAATGAAACTAGCTCCTTGTTCTAAGAAATATCGAAATTTTTGCCATCAAGAATATACTGACAATGTAGTTAGCAGAAATTTACTTCTGATTTGTCCGAACACGGAATTGATAGAGACACAAGGAATTATTTCCTAGTCAATATTTAACAAAATTGCATTTATGATCTGTCTGTTTCTTGCATACCTTTGCTATTTTCACAGTATCAACTGTTTTTACGCAAGTAACATCTTATGGTAAATTTTGTATTGAGTGTTTTAAGCAATAGATTCATGTTTCATTATCTGATGTCCCTGAAATACCCACTAAATTATAATACAATTATTGATAATTTAAAATAATTGTGAAATAAAAATATGAATATAGATTTTAAAATGTTATTCAACTAATAAAGGGTGATCTTTGAGCTACCAAGCTTTTTTACCCCCCGCCTCCCACATCGTCATAATGGCGAAGTCCATGTTTTGCTGTGGCCGGGAAACCCAAAATATGCGTAGGATCAAAAAGTAAAATAGGAGGTGCACAATGGCATTATGTAATAAAGATTCTGCGGAAGTTTCATTAAATTTCAGTCAGTGGTATAAGAGTAGTTGCGGATCAAAGACGTACCCCAAAGCACATTATAATTTTTTTATACAGTATATCCGCTTGCTTATTTTCTATACCAGGGGGGGGGGGGGTATGATAAATTTAAATCCATTGTACACTGAAAATTTCATATGGGATTTTACATTGTTCTAATTTACAAAGTCCCATATTCTATCGTTTAAAAAAATTGTTTAAATTAAATATCCTATCGTTCATCCGAATAGCCCTTGTTTCCCAGCTTCTCACCGCTTGAAACTATTGAGAATTTGAAGCAAAGCTTTGTTATATTTGTTTACAAAATTAATGGTGAAAGAGTTAGGAATGCTCTTTAGTATAAATATATAAGACATTTTTTCCAATTTCTGACCGAGTTCTCCCCTCTTGTGATGCTAGTGCTTGTAAGTTTTATTCACAGTTTTAAAAAAATCATTGTTGTTATTGCTAGTTTCTAGTGCATTCATCGACCAGCGTTAATCCTTGTACGCGATCATCTTTTAAGAGTAAAGTACCACTTAATATTAACAAGTGGGGAATATTTAAGAGAGCAAAAACAGATAAATGCTACATGGCGGAGTAGTGATTGGACATTTGGCATTTTTTTTTTATAAGACGTACAACACACTGGGGGAGATAACTCTTGCGATTTCAATTGAACGTTTTCGTGACGTCAAATTTAACGTAAAAGTAATAAAGCGTCAAAACGACGAGTAAAACGATCCCGATGTATATCAATCATGAAAGAAAATTGGGATATGGGGCTTTATGTGATTGTGCGTACCTATACAATCAATAAGTTTTTACATTAGGTATTTTTTAATAAACCCGATTAAACTCCGTAAAAAGCAAGACATGAAATACCATATCCCTTAATGTTTATTTCATTTCATTACATATACAATAAATTGTAATCTTGATCAAAGCGCAACATTTTTTTTATTCTGAAAATTTTATTTTACATTGCCAAAATTCTCATTATTTACAAACGTGGCTATATAAACATTCCATTAATGATCTTCATTACAATTTGTGCATGCACGCCATAAATCATGTTTTGTTTTTCTTCTTTAATTAAATAAAACAACAATGAATAAACAAAAAACTTTTTACAGTAAAATCGATGTTTATCTCAGACCCTTACTGATCAAAGAGGAACAACTCTAAAAATGTAGATGTTCATTTTCCTCCCTTTTTTTTTTCCACAGAATCAGATACATTTACAGTGTAGACCTGATAAATTCGAGAATTGAGTACTATAGACCTCATATAAACAATGTAAGTATATAATTGAAAAAAGTTGTTCACTTGTCCTGAAATATATCCCTTTATGAATATCCTTATTGCAGCAAATCGTAACTTTGATAACTATGCAACTGTCAACATGTAGCTTAGGTTGTCAACATCCTTCCTGACTTAATCAAAACAAAACGTAGCCTATAAGATTTTAAAAAATATCAATATGGGATTTGTTATAAATTGAAATAGATGAAGATATTCCTGTTTTATCAACTTTGTCAATAATTAACATCGTTTTAGAAATTTTCATTCTAACTTTAAAAGCGTATCGACATTGAATACAAAATCCATATATGCATATGAAGGTATCATGAGGGAAGTTGACATCTAATGCAAATGTCATCACATTTATCATAAAGCTTAGTTGTTTACATACGTCTTTTTCAAGTAAAATATTAAGTATGAAATATGTGTGTATTCTCTGTGATTATCGTATCACAGGGAATGGAAATTACTTTTTTAATGAATAAAATTAAAGAAATAAAATTAAAAATCAACATATTCAAGTTCAACAAAACTTGTTTTCTCCAGGTTTCATGTGATATGGAATGCATAACGCATTCTGTATATGGACTAAACACTAAAATCTTTCAGTAATTTTTTCCTGATACATATAAAAAGAGTAGTTTGAAGACCCGGTCTCCTGTCAATCAGAAAGTCAAGATATTAATGTCAACTTCAGAGTACTTCTGTGTGCAATACAGTATATTTGACTTTAAACAAAATAATTTTGCGAACGACCAATGACCAAGTAAGTCAATTTACGAAGGGCTTTTCTTGATAAGGGTATGTCAAAAATTGCCTAAAAATTCTACATTTCAAATTGTTCACATAGGAACTTTTAAATTTTTAAGTTCCCCCATCTGATTTGCACCACTTCAAAAATATATTGTTGCACAGTACTCTTGAAGTTTTTCCTTCACAACTGTCAATATCTTAGTGAAAATAAAGAAAGAGGCTTGGTTGACCGTCTGGAACCCGCAATATATCTTTTTATTGAGAAGGGGAGGGGGAAGTCTCCGCTATTAAATCAAATACTGGTCGTACATAAATTATACAAAAAATTTATTTTGGTTCCTACCAGCTACCTAAAGAAATTTTTTACCAAAATTAAACGACAGGTTTTTTCACAAAAAAATTTTGAATTTGAAAAATAGGCAATTTTCAAGTTTTAAAATTGTAGTTTTTCATCCAAGTTCTTTAAAAATTGTTTTGATGATATGTAAATCAAAAAGATGACTATGTTTTTGTGTTAAATGGTTAAAGGAATAAGCCAATGAAATTTGACATTTATGATACTAGAGGTGGTTTTTTTTCAAGGTTAAAGTCCTTCTTGATTAAAAATTTTCTCTCCTTGTAAACAACTAAAGGGGGGAACTGCAAATTGTTTACTAATACTAGGCGCTAAAACCACTCGTAACGATTTTGTCAAAAATATGCATACATGCAGTATATATAGTCATGTACTAAATATAAAAAAATAACGAAAATTAAACGACAGGAATTTTTTGGGGTAGGTGTGTTGTACATCCTTAAAGATCCAATCCTCAACGCTAACGCAGATGCTTTACCACTGGACACGCGGACGACTAAAATGATTTTGTACAAATTTTCATAGGTTCAGGTTCGACATTTTGGATGAATAAGGCTATGTAAAATTGATTGATTAATTGATGCTTTTCGTCCATTTCGAGAATTGTTCACTCGTATAAACACGTCAAGTACCAGAGAAGCTGAAAGGCATCAAATTTAAACCTTTTTATGGCTACTCAGAACACAAGGTTCTTTATCATGACAACGCCTATCGTGATACATGGCCTCGGTTTTTAAGGTTTTATAAGAATGACCAGCAGCATTAACTTCAAAATGCTGAGCGCTTGGAACAGCTGCTTTTTTTAGACGTAGATCAGCTGCAGACGCCATTCGAACACTCTAACGACTGAGCTACAGTGACGGCAGGCCTTGTAAGAAATATTTCTATAAAACACTTCTACCTGCGACCTAGCATCCTACAAACAACTCGTGCATCATTATCGTCCCAGGCATCGTCACAAACAGTCCCCCATGATCCATCATAGTATACTTCAACTCTCCCGTAGGTAGACCCACCAGCAGTGATTCGTACATTAACTATAAAATAAAAAAAATATTAAAATATTATACCATAATGTAGTAACTCTTGTTTAATTATCAGCTCTACCAACACATTAAACGCACATGTACAGTTGAGCTACGTCTTAATCTCAGAAATATAGAGAGCGAGGATCATTAGTATTTTTTGACAATGTTTTTAACTTTATTTATTTAATGTTAGATGTATGATAATGAAATTAATAGCATAGATAACATATGTTCTTGATAACAGTTTCTTTTTAAAAAATCAATTATGTGCATATAGAAAAAAATTGTTTCAAGAGGGTTTTAAAAAGTGTCAGTTAGATATAAGGTTAAAACTTTTGACTTTCTGTAACATATGAAATAGTAAATGCTACGCCCTACATGTAGTAATGACACCTTACAGCCGCTTACCTATAATCTCGAACATGTTGCGAAGGTTTAGTTTAAGGAAGTATGGGTTTTGAGCAATAGGGGCCAAATTGTGATATGATTTTCTCCTGTACCCCGTACTTCGAAATCGTAAAAAATAAATCGTAATTACAAACTCTTACTCGTGAAATTCTTTAGTTTAATAACCAACTACAATAAATTTAACCGACAAAATTGACGAAAACATTTATGTATACTCACTAAATGATTTCAAACCATTTGAAATAGTATTCAATGATATATTGTAAGATCTCTGTTGTGATTCAATGGCGGTTAGTCTTGAACTGCGATCTGAAGCCAACTGTTGGATATTCTGAAGCGATGTTTGCAAACTCGACACATCTCCGGTAAGAGAATTGATACTGATACTCTGCTGTGCCAAAGTATCCGATTCCAGTAAGCTTATTTTGCTCCTAATGTTTCTAAAGTTTTGGGATATATCATCATCTGCAGATGATATATTTTGAATTGTCTCATTTAATGTTTTTCTTATTTCATTGGTCGTTTCCGTGCAAAACGGCAGTCCGCGTATCGATGATGCCGTAAGGTTGTTTGCAACTTTTAAGAATGTTTCATTCAAATGAAGAGTCAGATTGCTGGTCTCAATTAAATGCATTTCAATTTCTTTAATTTTGTTGTTTGTGAGATCATTTAAGGAAACTTTCCCAAATTT